AAATGGCTCGGTGTTTATCAGCCCCCACCCCTGCCCCCATCCTCCTGTGTCATTTAAATGGCCCCCAGGTTCACTCCCAGGCCGACCCTGAGTGCTGCSGAGGAGCTGAAACAGCCCACCACGGAGCCTCCGGGAAGACACCCTCCACCTGCGGCCACAGGGCCGGGAGGTGCAAACTGTTTGCACACAGCTGGCATGAGTCACACCAGGGGCTTCAGATCAGCCTGGTGGCCTGCTTCCAGGGCGGTTCTTAGGAAACACAGGTGCTCCTTTCAAGGCCACAGGGACACCCTGCACTTGGCCAGACTCCCCTTGTGGGCACTGGGGATGGTTCCCTTTTCTTCTCCTTTTTGCCCTTACAAAAAGGATGAGGAGGTGCTCCTGGGCCCACTGTGTGCCCACCCACAGCTCTCTTGGTGGCATTTCCAGGAGTAGAATGGAGGGTCCTGGGACGGGTGAGTTTTGAAAGCTTTTCTGGTGCTGGGGGCTGGGATTTAGGGCTGAGAGGGCTTAGGGGAGGGAAGAGGGCATTCAGGCAGAGGGAGCCCCGTGGGCAGAGGTGCAAGGGTGAGAAGACATTGAGGAATCCTCGGAGGCCTCTGCGGAGGACCAGGAAAGGTCCTTCCTGTCTGGAGCCGGGTGGCAGGGCTCCTGGGTAGAGGCCGGGTTTCCCAGTGTCTTCTCCCTGCCCCCCTGGCCTCCATCCAGCTGTCCTCCACTCCTGGGCAACCGCAGCAGGGACTTGGGCCCCAGTGCTCCCTCCGCTCCTGCAGGGCACACTGTGCAGCAGCCTTAGGGGACCCTTCTCAGCTCAGCTCCATGCCACCTCTGCCCCTGCCTGTTCCCCAGACCAAGGCGCAGTACCCCTCACCTGCTGGGTACAACACTGGCCAACCCAGATTCTTTGTCTCTCCTGGCCCCGCCCCCTGGGTGGACCCACACCCACACTCTGCAGAGGGGAGCCCTGGAGGGCAGTAGTAGTGTGAAGGCTTGAGGTCAGGGACTGGGGTCACCTGTGACGGCTGGGTCATGGTGGGCAGCTGGGGTGAGTTGACCATCAGGTGATGGGTTGGGGCACACCTGACTCCAGAAGGGCTCTTGATGTGAGAAATGGCCCAGGACCCTTTCTCTCTCCCCTTCTCTGACTTCCCAGAACCTGCTCCCTCCCTCTTGGCCTCGATCCACCCACTGGTCTTCCAGGCCACCAGACAGATTTTTGCCGCTGGAGAGGGAGACAGGCGGGGGCCACCTTGGTCACACAATCCCAGGGCTGACCCTGGAGAGCATTTTCATTCTTATCAGTGATTTCCATGGAGGGTGGCGGGCCACCTCCCAGTGTGTCCTCCAGGGAACCCTGGTGAGCAGGACCTGGCCACCCTGTGGGGACGTGGCCTGCTCTGGGGAGGGGCTTCTCCTGTGTTCAGGGGCACAGGGGACAGCCTGAGACTGCCCTCTCCTCAGACGCTGCACCTGAGGTCATCCTGTGCAGCCCTGGGGCCTAGCAACTGTGAGGTGGGACGGCAGTAGCTCTCCAGCTTGGCAGGGGAGCAGGGCTCCCTCCAAGCTGTCTGCCCAAGCCTGGCGTTTGCCACCCTTTCCACCCTGTGCTGTCCTCCCCTGGAAGCTGATCTTGGGCTTCCTGCCACTTGCCACACACCTGCCTCCTCTGTTATGCAAATGGGGGCTGGGTCCCTGCTCAGTGGCTGCTGTCTGTGGTCCCCTCCCAACTGCGTGGGCCCTTGTTAAATCCCAGCCTCAGGAAGTGAAGGAGCCATGGCCAATGAGGAAGGAAATCCTGGCCGCCCCTGCTCAGCTTCTCCTCCAAGCCGCTGCTGAGAAGGGTTAGAATCCTGATATTGGCTTTGTTTTGTTTAGCAAACAGAAGCATGCAAAGCAGCCCCAGGGGAGGGGGGGAGAGAGAGAGAGAGAGAGAGAGAGAGAGAGAGAGAGAGAGAGTGTGTGTGTGTGTGTGTGCATGGAGCACCCCCACCCCAGCAAGTACCCTGACTCTTTCTCCTGATCTGAGATGTGCAGGGTCTCGCCCTGAAGTGCAGCTTTGGACAAGTCCTTCTCTCTCTCTAGACCTCAGTGTCCCATGGGCAGGAGGAGGGCAGGGGCTGGTGTTCTCCAGGGCTTTGTGGGTCTTATGCCCTGGCCACTAGAGTCCATCTTTCCCTGCCTTCAAGACCCAGGCCCTGCAGGACATGGGCAGGGAGCCTGCTGAGTAGGTGACCACCCTCTTAGGTGACTCACCCCCACAGCCCCACACACCTGATGGGGTGTTTGGGGGAATCTGGATGAACAGGAAGCGCCTCTGCAGGGGAGTGCCCTTCAGGGCCTGCTGGCCAAGCCCAGATTTGCCAGTTTTCAGGGGGATCCAGACAGCAGCCTCACAGAGGTCTAGACAGAGGACAGACTAGAGGAAACACCATGGGGCTCCCGATCCCAACCTGCTGTGCCTGCCATGTGACCGTGGGCACGCAGGTGGACATCCCCCTCCCCTTCCTCGTCCTCGGGGCGCATCTCCTCCTGTGGAGGTGGGCACCGCCCATCACACACCACGACTCCGAGAAGTCACGCAGTCAAGGGTCTGCTGGCCACGGGGCCCTCTCCTCCCTTTGGCTTTGGAGGCTGTGGGCAGGCATGGAGCACACCGGTGCTGGCCATCCCGCCAGCACCAAGGTCCTCTCTGTAGGATGCGCATCAGCTGAGGGATGGCCCCCACTGCCCCAAGAGGGGAGGGCCAGACCTGCAACAGGAACAGCCTCAGCTTCCTCCAAGGATGAGTGACCGTGGCCAGTGGGCACTGGCCTTTGCTCCGGGCGGGTCACCATTGCTATTCCTTGACAGGGTGAGCCTTGGGGTCAGAGCCGCGGAACAGCTGGTCATGAGCCCCAGGTTAAATCACCTTCTGAAAGGAAACACCTCCAGTGGCAGAGGTGCACCCAGCCTGGGGAAGGACCTGGGTGGGAGCCCAGCCACACCCTCCTCAAAGAAGCTTATTAAAAAGGAAACATGAGGGGCTGGGGATGTGGCTCAAGCGGTAGCACGCTCCCCTGGCATGCGTGTGGCCCGGGTTCGATCCTCAGCACCACATACAAACAAAGATGTTGTGTCCGCCGAGAACTAAAAAATAAACATAAAAAAAAAAAAAAGGAAACCCAAGGGGCCAGGCTCTGTGGCTTCCACTCTTCTATGGCTGGCCTCTCTGGCCTCGGCTGCCCTTCTGTAAAGTGGGACCACGAGGCACCTTGCAGAGGGCGTGTGGGTTAGAGCCCGGGTCTGGAGACGCTCAGTCCCGTTCAGTACCTGCCAGGGTCTCACCGACTGGTCCACCACCAAACCTGAGGCTGGGCCCGGCCCAGAGACAAGGGGACACTATCCACAGACAGCTGTTCTCTGTGGTCAGGGGCTCCTGAGCTGTAAGCAAGGGGCCTTGTTTAATGGCCAGGACTTCAAGCAGGGACATTTGTGACCTGGTAGCTCGCACCTGGCTAGGCCTGCCCTGGTCTTTCTATATGGGCCCCAGGGAATCCTTCCAGCAGCACTTCCAGAAAGGGACTGTCACGTGTCCCGCTCTGCAGAGGAAGCTGAGCCCAGACAGGTTCAGGGCCCCACCTGGACTCACACCACTGCCCAGGGGCCACACCAGGCTCACCTGAGGCACACCTGTCACTCCCCTTTGGCCACTTGAGGTGACCCTGGCTGGGGCAGGGACTGGGACACAGATGTCAACTTGGGAGCCATCATCCAGTCCACCACTGCGATTGCATTAAGGGTCTTGAGGTGGGACAATCATCCTGGGTTATTCAGGGGCCGATGCTATTCCACGTCCTCCTAAGAGGAGGCAAGAAGGGCCAAGGCGGGAGAAGGAGAGGCATGGCAGAGGAGAGGAGAGGGCTGCCCTCTGAAGCTGGAGCCAGGCGTGGCGGTGGACGCCTGCAATCCCAGCAGCTCAGGAGGCTGAAGCAGGAGGATCACCAAATTTGAGGCCAGCCTAGCAACTTAATGAGGCCCTAAGCAACTTAGGGAGACCCTGTCTCAAAAACAAAAAGGGCTGGGGCTGGGGCTCAGTGGCTAAGTGCCCTGGGTTCACCAGGAAGAAAGAAGCAGAGAGAGAGGGAGGGGGAGAGGGAGGCAGGAGGGAGGCAGGAAGGAGGGAAGAAAGAGGGAGGAGGCAGCTGAGGGGCTTGGTGTCCGGCCCTGGGGCTGTGAGAAGGGCTGGGTGCTGGGGGACAGGGTTGTACACTTTGTCACAGCATCACTGTGCGGCTGGCCCTCCTGTGCCAGGGCAGCAGCCCCCACGCTCCTGCGGCCCTCACCTGCTGGGCTGTGCACGCCGCCCGCCCCTCCTGTCCCCGAGCCCCTCCACAGCCTTCTCTGCTCCCCCAACTCCCCACCGTCCCTCCCCAGAGCCTCGTGCAGCACGTGGAAACAAGCCTTCTTTATTTTTATTTACAGCAATTGAGAGGAGCAGTGACTGCTGTCCTCTCCAGCCCCACGGCTGAATCCTAGTGGCCAGTCGAGGGCTGGTGGTGGCCGGGGCAACCAGCACACCTGGCCTCCGGGGGCAGGAGGCAGCTCGGAATGCTGTGGCAGCCAGAAAGAGGTCCCCGGAAATTCAAGATGGCCGCATCCAAGTGGGCAGCAGGCAGGAGAAGGCTTTCACTGTGGGTCCCAGCTCTGGTGTGTTCTTGGCATTCCTGTCCCCTGGGGTGTTCCAGCTTCCTGTGTTCTTTCAAGGTGAGCACATCTGTGGACAACTTCAGCCCCAAAAGACCCAGACCAGCCCTCACACTTTGTGGAAGGAGGAACATTGGTCCAGAAAGGGAAAGTCACTTGCCCAAGGTCACACAGCAATTTCATGAGTCTCAAAACAAATTTGAAGCCTCCTGTCAGTGCCACCTCCAGGAGCCTGGGAATCTGGAGGCATGAAGCTGGCCTGTAGGTGATGGGACGTCCAGGTAGGCTGCCCTGGACGAGCCAGAGCAGGCATGGCCTCACTTGAGGTTGTGCTGGGTCTCCCGGTGCCGCCGCAGGTCCACCTTGCGCTGGAAGCCCTTGGTGCAGAGCTCACAGCTGAAGGGCTTGAAGCCTGTGTGCTTGCGGCTGTGCGTGATGAGGTTGGAGCTCTGGCTGAAGGCCTTCCCGCACACCTGGCACTTGTGAGGCTTCTCCCCTGGGAGGCCGGGATCAGGTGGGCTAGGGTCAGCGGCAGCCAGGCCTGTGTCTCCTCCCCTCCCACATTTGCCCTCCCAAGCTTTGCTGTGCCCGCTCTCTGTCCACCCATGTCCACCTTAGAGAGTGACGAGCCAGAAAGGCCTGCACTGTCCACAGGAGAGGCCAGGGGCCAGGTTTCCCTGGCTACATCCCCACCGCTGGCCCAGGCCAGGCACAGAGGTGCTCACCAATGAGTGCCTCAGCAAGTCACCTGCCCAGAGGCCACCAGTGCTGGCACCGTGCTGTCCCTGCCCCTGTTGTATCCACTCCTCGGTGCGKGTGAGTGCCATGGGCATCTGGCCCTCCACCAGCCTGCGCCTCCCGGTCACCCGACCTGCCCTGGCTGACAGCYGGCGGGCGCGGCTCCCCAGGAGGCGGCCTGCCACTCACCGGTGTGGATGTAGGTGTGCTTCTTCATGTCTGACTTCTGGTGGAAGCGCTTGCCACAGAACTGGCAGGGGTAGGGCCGCGTGTCCGAGTGGATGAGCAGGTGGGTGGACAGGGTGGACGAGCGCTTGAAGGCCTTGCCACACATCCGGCACTCAAAGCTGCGCTCCTGCCGGAGGAAACGAGGCCCCGGGGGGTCAGGTGCAGGTGGGGCCTCGCCGCCCAGGACAGCCAGGCTGGGCGCAGGACTGGACCCAGTTGGGATCCCCTAAGGAAGAGGACACTCCGTTGGGGTGGCCTCAAGGGCAGGGCCTGGAGGAGCAGAACCCAGGAGGCCCCATCCTGCTGCCCAGGTAGGACCAGGGGTGGGCCTGAGAGGCCCGTGTGAGGTCCCTCCTGCTCTCAGCGTCCTACTAAAGCAAGTGTTTGTGGCCGACTGATGGACGGCTGAACGGTCAGCCTTTTCGGGAGCGCACATTCCATGACCCTGACCCTGATTGAGGCCCTTGAGGCAGGGCTGAGAGGCTGAGCAGTGGTTAGTTAAGAGTCTGAGTTACTGAGGCGCGATTCTGGCCTCTGAGCAGTCATGTGATTCTAGGGGTCACTTAACCCCCCCGAGCCTGTTTCCTGGTCTGTACGCTGGGCCTCTGACAGTTACGGCTCAAGCTCTGCTGGGAGGTGGAGGCTGAGAACAGGCAGGTACCCAGACCCAGCGGGCATTGGGGCTCACAGGTGGGAGCTCCCTGGTCCCTCCCTGCCCCCCCACCTCTGTTCACCGGGTCGGGTTCGGGTGCCCTCCTGGAGTGAAGAACCTAAGCTGGATTTCTCTTAGTGGGGGTTGGGGGAGTAAGCTTTTGACCCTAACTCAGACTCTGAGAACTGCCAGGATGGGGACTCGTCCATCCYGGCAAAGCCTAGCAAAGTCCTCAAAGCCAATGACACCTGCTCGGGCCACCCAGAGACAGACACGTTTCTGAGCATCACAGCCATTGCTGTCCCCAGATCCCACCAGGGTCAAGGGCTCCCTCCCATCAGCTGGGTGGAGTGGAGACCCAGGAGCGTTGTGGGGGGGGCAGACCTGGGGGGCATTTAGTCAGGGGCCCCCCAATCTGCATCACCTCCGGGACAAGAGGAGAGACCTAGCCGCAGCCCCCAGGCTCCCGAGGGAAGCGTCTTGGGTGGGGGGGTCCAGTCTTGGCGGCCTCACCTGGGAGTGGACGTGGGTGTGCTGCTCCAGGCTCACGGCGTGGCCGAAGGTCTTGCCGCAGACGTCACAGGCGAAAGGCCGCGTCCCGCTGTGGGAGCGGCGGACGTGCACCTCCAGCCCGTGAGGGGTGGAGAACACCTGGGGGGGCAGAGCGTGAGACCCCGGGAGGGCGGCGGCCTGCAGCCCGAGGCCGGCCAGCCCCGCCCAGCGGCCACTGCGGTGCTCACCTTGCTGCACTTGACGCAGTGGTAGGCGTCCATGCCTGGGGAGTAGCGCAGGCTGAAGTCCAGCGGCGGCTCCACGCTGGGCACCAGGGGGCTGCCGTACAGCCTGACTGAGCGCTCCAGGAAGGCCGACTGCATGGTGGAGGGGCCCTGCTGGCAGCCGTAGGACGAAGCCAGAGCGTCCCAGGAGAAGCTGGGCTTGTAGAAGGGGGGGGAGTCGGAGAGGGGCGAGTCCCCATCCCGGGGCAGGGCCATCACTACAGGGCCCTCTGAGGAGACAAGGACACATGCCTGGTGAGTCACTAATGGGGGGCGCGGGCTCTCCAGCACCCACCACCACCTAGTGACACCTATTGCAGAGGGGTTCCTGGTGTGACCTGCATATTCACTGCCAGGGCTGTCTGGGTCCCTATTATGGTTCCTCAGACTTTCTAGGCAAGAAACACCCCTCCTCAACCCAGGACACCCCTCACCCGCCACACGCACCTGCTGGGTGCTGCTGGCCCACCTCCCAGAAGCCCTCATCTGGACTGAGCTCCCTGTGAGGAGCGTCCAGGTAGAAGCCAGAGAGCCCTTATGGCATCCAGGTGTCAGTGGGCACTGTTGGTCCTCCTGACCATGATCCCAGGGGACACTGATCCTAGAGCCCATCCAGCCTCCCTCCCTCAGCTCCGCTGGGGAGTGCCTGGGGTCCCGGGCTGGGTACCTGGCACTGAGGCCATCCTGGTCAAGCTCTGCCCAGGCTCCAGCCTTGGCTCCCGTTTGACACTGTTCCAGTCAAGGTACTGGTCTGCGGGCAGTGTGCTGACCTCAGGGCTGTTGCTCAGGACCTGGTCCCTGGTCACTGTGGGGAGACAAGACTTCAGAGTCACCAGCTGCAGCTCCTAAGAAGCCCTTCCCAGGAGGAGGGGACCTGGACAGACCATCTGCCGTTGCTTCTGGCTGCTCATGTGCAGGGCTCTTCCCGTGGGCAGGATGTGGACAGAGTGCTGAGGACCCCCAGGTCAGCCTTGCCTCTAGAGCAGCCCTCCATTGCACCTCCAACTGGGACCCACCCATCTGCAACAGCCCGGGTTCCAATGCCCATGCCCCGTCACCCCAGGGGAGACCTTGCCGAGCTGCTGCTGCCAGACTGGAAGAGGGGCTTCGGGGGGAGGGCCTGACTGCAGCCAGCCAGCTGGACTGGGACTCACCCGGGGCGATGGCAGGAAGCCAGGCAGGGTCCTCCTGCGCACGGGGCTGGTGGTAGGTGTGGGCCTTCTTGCTCTTTACCAAGAAGGAGCGTGGCATTTTCAGAGGTGCCCCCACCTGCAAGAGGAGGGGCAGTTAAAAGAAGGAGAGGACAATGCTCCTCTGGATTTTGAACTCCTCCTGGGATGAAAGCAGCCCCCGTGCTGGGTTGAGTTGTCTCTCACAAAGCTCACGTCTACTGGACCGGTGATCATGTGGGGAACAGCCTTTTTGTAGATGGAATCAAATCAAGATGAAGTCATCCAGAGTTAGGGAGGACCTCGAGTCCACTATGACCAGTGTCCTTGCAGAGGGAAACCTGGACTCAGACACACAGGGAGAAGGCTGTGACAGTGGTGGCGGGATCCCAATCATGTCTCTATAAGCTAAGGACCGCTGAGGCATGGAGCAGAGTCCTCAGAGCTGCTGGAAGGGTGTGACCCTGCTGACGCTGGATTCTGAACTTCTAGACCCCAGAACTGTGAGGGCACTCATTTCCGTTGTCTTTAAGCCACCCTGCTTGTGGCACATACTTGCACAGCAGCTACAAAGGCTGCCATCCCTCAGTAGCAAAGGAATACACTCACACCCCGAAAATCCCGAGTCAGCCTGCTCCCACTAGCAAGCCCCAGGTCGCACAAGATCAGAGAGAGAAGGGCAGGGGCAGGGGTCTCTGTCCGTGGCACACTGTGGACCCCATTTCTAGAAAGCTGCATGTGATTCCCAGTGGAATCCACCATTAGATGCCATAGGAAAAAAAGTGTTCTGGTTTGGGGTTGAGAAGCTCCTGAGTGCTTATCTTGGCTCACTACTGGGCAAATTAGGGCAGAAACTTAACCTCTCTGGGCCAATTTTCTTTTCTTTAAGATATGACATCCAGATTTGTGGAGCTGACAAGTATGTCTGGTTCCCAGAGAGGAAGGACCCTTCTCTCTCCCGGGAGTAGATAAGGTTTGGGCCCAAGAGGACCCCAAAACCACACAATATCATTCATACAGGAAGACACAAATGTCCACCAACTCTCATGGTTGAGTGGCAGCCCAGCCCAGCATCATCGCTGAGCCCCTAACCAGGGTTTGGGGGACAAATTGAAGACCAGATCTGTCAAGTTACTGCCCTTATTCCCAGGTCCAAGGGTGTGTGAAGCTGGACCATCCTGACCACCCCCTCCCCCTGGCTTCCCCTGCACAGGGAGGGTCTCCTTCCCCGCCTCATCCCCAACAGCTTGCCTCCCTGGCCGCCTGCTCATGAGGCTCTCCAGAGGGCCCTGGGGAAAACAGAGAGCATCTTCTAGGTCCTCTGCCCTCCTCCTCCCGAGGCTGCACACGCCTGAGCTCAGAGCTCAGAAGAGGCACCAGTCCTGCAAGGCCTGGGTGGAGTCCCTCCCCCACCCCACAGCTTCCACACAGGGTTGCAGGGTGATAGCACCCAGCCAACGTGAAGGCGGGAAAGGATTTGGGCTGCTCCAAGCAGCTGTGGGGGCTGGGTGATAAGGCCTTACGCTGCCGGGGGTGTGCAGGGGTGGGTGGGGATTAGAGAAGGCAGCCGGAGCTCTGACTGAAGCAAGCCCCCCCCCCCCCCCCCCCCAAGACCAGAGTCCGCAGAAGAGAGCCTAGGCCTGCTTGTCCTCTGGCCCAGGATCCGAGGACAACATTGAGAGTTTGGGCTGTGGCAGCAGCAGGGAGTGGGTAGTCCAGGTCCCTCCTTGCTGGATGTTGTCCCTGAGCCTTGGTATCCAGATCTGCTAAACAGTGCCAGGGGACTGCTGGGAGCAGGAGGGAACTTCACATGTCACAAAGAAGCTCACGAGCTGGGCACAGTGGTGCACGCCTATAATCCCAGAGGCTCAAGCGGCTGAGGCAGGAGGATGGCCAGTTCAAAGCCAACCTCAGCAACTTAGGGAGGCCCTGTCTCAGAATAAAAAGGGCTGGGGAAGAGCTTAGTGGCTAAGTGCCCCTGGGTTTAATCCCTAGGTGCTCAGTGTGTGCCTCAGCTGAGCTATGGGTGGTGGCACCTCTGCCCAGGTGAGGAGCAGCTTCGGAGGCCAGGAAGGAGGCCTGCATCCTGCTGCGTCCCCAGCACCTGGGGCAGAACAGGTGCAACACCTGCAGGACAGCCCAGTCCTGGACCAGTGGCCACAGAAATCCCCAGGGAACGGGGGACATGTTCCAGGCCTCCTCTCTCTGAGCTCTACAAGGAGGGGTGGATCTGACAGGGATCCCCTCCCTGTCAGATTCTCAGCTCTTTGAACAAAGGCTCTGCGGGGACTGCCCCAGGCCAGGCAGCCCACAGCCACCTTATCTTCCAGGGACACGTCTTCCTCCTCCTGCCTCTTCCCTCCCCCGCCAGGGCTCCCCACACCCCCTTCCTTCCCCCTCTGAACTCTTTGCCTCTGGAAACATCCTGGGGAGGCCAGACCCTGGGCAGAGTGGGAGGGACCCCCGTGAGCTGGGCCAGGCCTGGGTTCCCTCCACCTTGGTCCTGTGGGGGCCGCCTAAAGCCACAGTCTGTCAAAAGATGACCTGCTTGTTTTTGACACAGGCTCTTTTATAAGATCAGCTACAGCCAAGGTGCCCGCTGAAGCCTCTGAGACAGTGCCAGGGTAAATTGGCAGCCAGGGTCTGTTCAGCCACCTGAGCACCTTTAGGGAACCCTGTCCCATACTGATGTCACCGAGGAGGAGCCTTGGCTCAGAGGCTGCCCAGGACCCCAGGGCAGAGCAAGGACTTTGTCTGCTGGCCTGGGGCTTCCATGTTCCTGAGGGACAGGCCAGAGGTGGGGGCATTTGCTCCTGCTGTCTGTGCCAGCGCTGGGCTGCTGGGCCGTGCCCTAGGTTGCAGGTGGGGACTTAGGCTGAGATGTCGGTGGCTTGTCTAAGGTCACGGCAGAGCCAGGCCGAGGGCTCCTGCCCTGCTACCCAGTCCCATCTGAGATCCTCACAGCCTACAGCATGAAGAGCGAGAAGGCATTGAATCACACTCCTCTGGTCTTCAAGTCTTTTGTAAATCCCCCAAGCCCCACATCAGTCCTGCAGGGTCACAGGTAGGGCAGTGAGGGACAGATTCCCTAGGGGAAGCCAGAGAAGCAGCCGGGTCAACCGCCTAACATCCTGGACAGCAGTGGCAGGCTCTGGGGTCACGGAGATTGTGCCAACTACACAGTGGTGGAGGGGAAGGGGATCCAGTTTCTGGGGTTCCCCACGGGAGGCAGGTGATTCTCGAGCCTACTCCAAGGATCTCCTTGATCCCCCTTGTGCTCCTCACCCCTCAGCCTGGCAAAGTTACAGGAGATCAGCCAATTCCACGGCCAAGCTCTGAAGTCCTCAGTGGGAACCAAATGCACCCAGCACACTTCCTTTTGGCCCCTGTTAGCTGAGTTAAAAAAAAAAAAAAAAAACGGGAACCAATCACCTATAGTGCAGTTAATTAACAACCACTCGGTTTTGATTCACACGGACCGTTCTGAGAAAGAGCTAGGAGCAGAGATTGTGAAAGAAGCTCCGGTTTCTTCATAAAACAGAGGTGTTGATGGTATCAGCCTCCGGAAGGAGGCCCCATTAACCTCCCAACCTGATGGAGGGTCCCCTGACCCTGGTCAGATTCCAGCAGCCAGGGCCCTACCTGCACCCTGACAGCCTCCTGCACCCATCTTCTAGGTGGAGTCAGGATCACGGGGCTCTGGTCTTCCTGGATGGAGGTAACGCCTGTGGGGATGAGTCTGATTTTGTGACCTTGAGCTTGTGACCGCGGCGGCCACCAACCTGGGTTTGGTTTTCCTATCTCTCAAAAGAGACGGTTGGGCCAAGATTTCTAAACTTCCCTTTTGCTCTAAAATCCCATGTAGGATTCGTTGACCTTCCGCGAGGGACTGGCCCACCTTGGCTAATTCACTCCGGTTCCCTTTTGGGGAAGGTTGGGTAAGATTGAGCCGATTCTCAGGGTCAGCTATGGAGGACCCTTGGAACTTCCTTTATGTTTAAAGACATGAGGGGACCAACAGACTGAAACCCTTGCAGCTGGGAGTGGTGGGGAGAGGAGCCGGGCCGTGCTGGGGGCCCTGCGGAGAACTCAGTGTCTAAAGTGAGGGAACCAGCTTCTGGTTCTGTGTCCACAAGCCCTGAAAACAGGATTTCAGAGAGATCTTTGCACACACACGGTCACAGCAGCATTGTCCCCAGTGGCCAAGCGGTGCAGTTGGTCCCCATGAGTGGCCCTCCACAGGGAGACATTATTAAGCCTTAGAAAGGAAAGAATCTGCCTCTTGCAACGACAGGGTGGACCTTGATCCCCTATGTAAGTACCTGGGACAGGCAAATTCAGAGACTCATTCAGACGGGAAGTTTCCAGGGTCTGGGAAAGATGGACATTGCTCATAGATACAGAGCTCCAGGTTTAGAAGGTGTAACAGGTGCAGGATGGCTGCCCAACAATGTAAATAGACTTCATGCCACAGAACAGTTCCTAAAAATGCCTAAAATGAGCTGGGCACAGCAGGACGCACCAGTGATCCCAGGTCCTCAGGAGACTGAGGCAGGACAACCTCTTGAGCCCAGGAGTTTCAGGCCATCCTGGGCAACACAGAAATATCCATCTCAAAAAAAGGGGTGGCAAGAGGTTGGGGGGTGTAGCTCAGGGGTAGAATGCTTACCCAGCTTGTGTGAGACCCTAGGTTCCATTCTCAGCACCAGGAAAAAAAATACAAAATGGTAAATTTTGTGAATATGTTTTATCACAATTTAAAAAGGTGAGCCAAAGAAGCCCTTCCTGCACATCTCTGTATTAGCACCAGAGCAGCTCCCACTGGGTGGAATTTCTGGAATGAAGGAACACCAAAGCCCCTCTCCACACCAGGGGAGAGGTTTTCTGCTGTTTCTGCCAAGGGTGTAGGTGCTGGACCAGGTGGAGAGTCCAGACTGGTTTCCTGATCCCAGAGCCTGGCCAGCCCACCCTGCTCTCCACGGAGCCTTGAGAAACCATCCACACTGATTTCGGTGCTTTTGCCAGTCACACCTAACTCAGGTATGGCTCTCTGACTTCCTCCAAGATCTCTCTGCAGGGCCA